GGGAATTTGGGGTACCTGGGGGGCTCCTGGGGGGGCTCCTGGGGGGGGTCCCGGGGCCGCCGGCCGGGCTCGAAGGCGGAGCCGTCCACGTAGGAGTCGCTGATGCCGAAGGCGGCGCGGAGCCGCTCGTTCTTGCGCTCGTTAGCCTCGGCCAGCTGGTGCGTCTCCGTGGCGCTAATTAGCATAATTAATCAACACGTGCATTAATTAACTCATTTTGGGTAAGGCACGGCGAAAGTCCCACAAAAAAAACGCGAAAATCCCCCCAAAAATTGTTAATTTTTTGGTGGTTTTGAGAGTTAAAAATTCAAATTAAGGCAGCAGAAATTACTTAAAAATCACTTTTTAATTAATTCTAACTAACAAAGGTTAATTAATTAAAGGAAGTGTTTTTCAGGTGGTTAATGATGCTGTTGGTCACCAAAAGACCCGAATTTCCTCTCTTTATTAGAAGTTAAAAGGATCAAAGACAGCAAATCCCAAAATCCTGCACCTCAATTAATCGTCATTAACAAAAACTAATTAATTAAGGCTTCATTAACGAATACTGAGATCGCTAATGAGCTTAAAACCCCCAATTTTCCTCCCAAAATTCACAATTCCCCTCCAAAAATCGCCTTTTTCTCACCCAAAATTCCCTTTTTTCCCCACCCCAACCTCCCCCCAATTACCAGGGCTGGTTAATGACTGGTAATTAAGCTAATTAACAAAGTTATTTTAGTATTAATGACTGAAAAATCTCCAATTTCCACACAAATCCCACCAAAAACCTCATTTTTTTTTTCTCTCCCAAAATTCACTTTTTTCCCCCAAAAACCTCTCTGGGGAGCTGATTAAGAAGAGATAATTAAGACAATTAGGCTAATTAAGCTAATTAACGAACTTATTTTGGTAGTAATTGAAAAATCCCCAATTCCCACTCAAACAGCCCCAAAAAATCTCCTTTTTTCCCCCAAAAATTCCCTTTTTCCCCCTACAAACCTCTCTGGGGAGCTAAGGAGGTATAATTAAGCTAATTATGCTAATGAAGCTAATTAACAAACTTATCTTGCCACTAACGACCCCAAAATCCCCAATTCCCACTCAAACCACCCCAAAAAATCTCCTTTTTTCCTCCCCAAAATTCCCTTTTCCCCCCACAAACCTCTCTGGGGAGCTGATTAATGAGATATAATTACGCTAATTATGCTAATGAACCTAATTAACAAACTTATCTTGCTACTAACGACCCCAAAATCCCCAATTCCCACTCAAACCACCCCAAAAAACTCCTTTTTTCCCCCCAAAATTCCATTTTTTTCCCCCAAAACCCCCTCGGGGACGGCGGTTAACGAGGCGCCATGCAGCTAATTATGCTAATTATGCAAATGAGGGGGCTCACGTGGGTTTCTGCTCGGGGTCGCCG